AACGTTTCCAGCATGAGATGCGTATCACTCGTGGATTGACACTGGTGAGATATGAAGGGCTGGGAGCCCCCAGTGCTGTAATTCTCTCTCTTAGCCCACTCCAACTCTGATTATTTATTTAAAACATTTATACAGCTGCCCATCTTTCGACCAGCTCTGGGTAACTCCCAATCAAAAATTAAAACTATGAAACATAATATTTATTTAAAATATTTATCTGGCTGGATTAGCTGGAGTTTGACTGGAAAAGAGTTGCCTTTCTATCCATTAGAATCCACCTTTGCTTTGAATTTATATATACAGGGCCCTGAGAGTATGAAGTACCTGGAGACACGGGAAAAGCTGACAAGGCCAATGGTGCAGACGTATCAGAGACATGTGGGGACACAATTGCCTGAAGCTACAATCGTCAAGAAGGTAAGGGTATATTACAGTCTTTGTGTAGGATGTATAATGCAGTCTTCCAGACCATGAATTTTGGCCCGGGCAGAAAATAGAGGAAGTTTCTTAAAACAGCAATAAAGCCATTTTTAGCAGGTGTGCTTAATTGTTCTACTTTGGTCAGTGGGACTTGCAGTGTTTATGCTGTAAAATGCTAAACTGAATTATCTGCGGGATACTTGGTGCTCTCTTATAAATATAAGTATAATTTTATTTCTATACCGCCCTTCTCCCGAAGGACTCAGGGTGGTGTACAGCCTATTTAAAAACACAAGACAAACATCAATTAAAAATTTAAAATTATTAAATAAATTCGGCTGAATTTAAAACCCCAAAAATTTAAAATACCCCAATTTAAAATTGTTATATTGATAGCCCGGCCTGGCGGAACAACAGGGTCTTCAGTGCACAGCGAAACAGCCAGAGGTCGGAGATCTTACGAATTTCCGGGGGCAGTTCATTCCACAGGGCTGGGGCTCCCACAGAGAAGGCCCTTCCCCTGGGTGTCGCCAGCCGACATAACTTGGCTGATGGCACCCTGAGGAGACCCTCTTCTTGGTGGTTTTCTTGCAGACATTTCGTTATCCAACTAGGTAACATCATCAGTGCTAGAAGGGAGTGTGGTTTGCTCTCTGCTTATATATAAGTGGCTTGCCCCGTCACTGTTGGAAGTTTTTTTTATAGTTCCTTGATTAAAACACCTCAACAGCAGTCAACACCCAGATAATCAGAGTTTAACACCAGGATTAACACCAAACCAACAGTCAAGCAGCAAACAAGATCCCAAATGAGGAACTGCCAAACAATCAAAGAGTAAACAACAGCCTAATCAAGGAATTACCAAGAACACTCCCACCAAGACTGACAGGGCAAACCGCTTGCATATAAACAGAAAGCAAACCCCACTCCCTCTGATGATATTACCTAGATAGGTAATGAAATGTCTGCAAGAAAACAACCAAGCTCAGAGAGCACCAAGGACCCCTCACAACTCAACCCTGAGCTACAAATATTCTCTTCTGTTGAATTAATTGTACACCTCATTGTGATGCAAGTTAACTCTGTGGATACAAAACTGATTTGCAAATACGTCTTCTCGGGCTTGCAAACCCTTGCTTACTTTTTCCTCTCTCCTGTTGCTTTTTTTTAATCCAGTCCACTGCACAGTTAAATCGCAGCATGGAAGATACGGCCATGGATATCCAACATCTAAAAGCCACTCAGAAGTACTTGCACGAATGCATTCACAACAAGCAAACAGGCTATGATGTTGATGGTAGTATCAAACGGCTGCGGCAGCGCCGTATGCATCCACGCACCAACATGAATGAGATTTTTCAACTGGTCTATACCTAGGAAGTCTGGCAATTAATGAGCCCTAAAATAAAACCTGGATATTTATAGTCGTCAACTTCTTTCTAGTTAAGGAGGGAAAAATATTTGATGGGCAGTGATAATAGAATGGAATACTAAATTCAAAATGGTCTAACTTGTTCCTAAGATAGAAGGGAATATATGGCTGCTTAATGTAGAACATGGTGTAGAAGTTAAGGTAGTAGAGGTTAAGGTAGTGGGGAGACTCAGGTTCAAATCCACTAATAGCTACGGAAGCTCACTGGGTGCCTTTGGGCTATTCAGTCTCTCTGAGTTTTACCTATCTCACAGGCAGTGGTGGGATTCAGCCAGTTCGCACCACTTCGGGAGAACCGGTTGTTAACTTTCTCAGCAGTTTGGTGAACTGGTTCTTGGAAGAAATCATTAGGGCAGAGAACCGGTTGTTAAATTATTTGAATCCCACCACTGCTCACAGGTCAATTGTGAGAGAATATGGAGGAGGAAGCACTGGGTATGCTGTCTAGCTCCTGCAACAAAGGCAGGAGATAATTCAGTCAAACGAAGGTCACTGTTACTGTTTTCTCCTATTGTAAACAATGGTGGGTTTCAAATTTTTTTACTACTGGTTCTGTGGGCGTGGCTTGGTGGGTGTGGCAGGGGAAGGATACTGTAAAATCCCCATTTCCTCCCAATCAGTTGGGTCTTGGGAGGCAGAGAATAGATTGGGGCGGGGACAGTCAGAATTTTTACTACCAGTTCTCCGAACTACTCAAAGTTTCTGCTACCGGTTCTCCAGAACTGGTCAGAACCTGCTGAAACCCACCTCTAAACCTAATTACTAAATCCAAATTTATGTATAGTAGCAAAACTTTTGTGCTAAATACTGAGCGTACAATACACAGAATCAGAGAACTGGAAGGGATCATTCAAAGTCAATGTATTGTGTTTGAGGTTCTTAATACTTTTTTTTTAAAATTTGATTTATATGCTGCCCTTCTCCGAAGACTCAGGGCGGCTTACAATGTGCTCAGCAATAGCCTTCATCCTTTTGTATATTTATACAAAGTCAGCTTATTGCCCCCACAACTGGGTCCTCATTTCACCTACCTTAGAAAGGATGGAAGGCTGAGTCAACCTTGAGCCTTGGCGAGATTCGAACCCTGCAGTAATTGCAGGCAGCTGGTCTTAATAAGCTTAATAACAGGGTGCCTTAAACCCCTGTACCACCAAGGCTCTTTCCTGCAGGAGACCAATTTCTTCTCTCCTAATTTAGGAATTAATTTTGATTTTCTGGAAAAAAAAAAAACAGAGATCGAAGTCCACTAGTGAGGTATCTTCTTTTTAATAGGCGCATTCTTGTATTTGTTATACCATACTTAAGACATATAAAGTGTTAACTCTCCCTGGATACTGTAACCTCTGATTTCAGAATCTTTTCTTCATTGAATGGAGGTTCTTTGACCTGATATACTGCAGCCCCACCATATGTAAGAATGAGAAATCAAACCGACCTGTTAATTTTTATTTATATCTTACTTTTATTATTATTTTTTATAAACAACTCAAAGTGGCGAACATACTTTATATTCCTTCTTCCTCCTATTTTTCCGATAACAAAAGCAACCTTGTGAAGTGAGCTGGGCTGAGACGGAGCTGGCCCAAAGTCACCCAGTTGGCTTTCATGCCTAAACTGGGACTAGAACTCATGATGTCTTAGTTTCTAGCCTGGTGCCTTAACCACTATATGAAACAGTCTTGAGGACATTTTTAAGCACCATAAAATTACTAAACCTATTGTTTTAGTATTTTTGTGATATGATCTGTATTTTCTATTCAAGCCAAGTATCCACATAACTAGCACAATAGGTTTTTCAGCAGAACCTCTCTCGACCAGCTTCCCTGGACCTGTTTTTAATATATACATAGTACCAGAGAGATCCCTTTATACTCACTGCCAGGAGGCAGGCACTTACACAGCTAGTTTGGGTCCTCATTGGGAATTCACAGTAGTAGATAATGTTATTCTGTGGGATTCAAACTTCCCACCAGAAGTTGAACTCATAAAGTTTTATACTTCAAATGCAATGCATTAGCTTTTAGGAGCTATCTAGATTCTGGTCTTGGTGATTGCAGGGAATAATATATCGAAGCTATCTTCCCTTAAACCTTCAGAGCAGCGAAATACTGATGTGAAACTATGTCATGTCTCTGTATATGGGGATTTTTTTTACATAATTCCAAAAGCTACAATTGTTTCTGTAATGTCTCTGCATATTGCAATAGTTTAAGTTACTGAAATAAATTATATGGTGGTGATTTGGTGTTGCCAGGGTTCATTGGGAGAACTGTGTGGACTCTGGGGACAATCTGTACTCAAATTTAAGCCTTTAAAGCTTAACTTTGATTAAGATGTTGAGACATATCAAATAGTTCTTCAGCATTAATTTTTGTGAAGAAGGTACTAAAGCAGATGTTATTCGTACAAGCGCCACTTGAAGGGAGATTTTCTCACAAAAGTGTTAAAGGAGCAGAATCATTCAGGTCTTTCCTCTAGAGAAGTCCTCCAACTCTTCTCACTGTCACTCATGACCTTTGTGGCCTCTCCTCTGGATTACTGCAATGCACTCTACATGGGGCTGCCCTTGAAGAGCATATGGAATGCTGCTGCACGTATAGTAAATGGTGTTGATTACTTGACACTATTCTGTGTGTTGTAGTGGTTGCCTGTGCTTCCGGGTACAATTCAATGTGCTGGTTGCCATCTTTAAAGTTTATGGCTATGGACCAGATTATCTGGGGGACTGTCTTTTCCCAGTTGTTCCTACCAACCAATTTAATCTGGCAGGATGGGCTGCCTGGGTCCTGTTACTCAGGAAATGGCAGGGCCCAGGAAATGTGCTTTTTGTAATGTGCAAGTAACACTTGCCTTATGGAACATCCTCCCTCTGGGGATTAGGATACCCTTGAGTTGCTGGCCTTTCATAAGATCCTAAAAAGGCTTGGTTATGTATCCAGGCATGAGACCCCAAAGTGTCCCATCTCCCGGCTGTGACAACACTCATGGATTATAGCAGTTTCTTTATCTGCTGTACGTGGTTTAAATTTCGCAGTCATGGTAATTTATTTGATTGTTCATTGCCCAGAATCACTTGCTAATGAGATAGGTGGGCCTACAGTTTGAATGAATTAATGAATAAATAAAGTGGAAAGTAAAGGCAGCTTACCTTCACTTAAATAAACAGATTATGCTCCACGTAGTTTGAGTAAACAAAGCGAGGGAAGCTGATCTAAATGCACCTGCACAAAAGAGATTTTCATATGCAAGATATCTCTTGCCAACATTTATAAAGAAAAAAAGAGGACATTAGGGTCCCCAGATCCGGGTTCAAAAATCTGGCAGAGATGCAACCCACCGTTAGTAGTCTTTGTTTCTCTTGATTCCACCTACTGGGCATCTGGAGTTTTGCAACCCAAATCAGGTAGCCGAATGTCTATGGAGATTCTGAAGTTATCTAGGTCATAGTTGCCCCAAAGGTACTTTTTTTTCCCAAGAGGCAACTGAGCTGAATCTGGCACCTTTTTCAGAGCTGATGAAGCTTCTTGGATGAGAAGCGAAATGTCTTCAAAAGAAGAAAGCAAGAAAGTCCAGTTGCCTCCTAAAAAAGCACCTTCGGGACAACCTAACAAGCAGTTCAATTACAGAGAAATAAAACTGATAACGAGGAAAGGCTGAAGGCGAAAAGCAAACCGCCTCAATCATCATCATCATCATCATCATCATGGCACTTGGTACCATGTCCAAGAATTTCACAAAACACTTGAAGAAATTGCAGCTTCCTGCAATAACACCAGCGGAACTGCAAAAAACTGCCTTACTTGGAACATCATATATTTTAAGAAGGTACTTGGTTGATACCTAGGATGCTGGCAGCAATCCGTATCAACCATTAGCACCAGTCAATGGAATTTGTGACACATTTTTAAATGTCCAGTTGACTGAGTTTCATTTTTAATGAATAAAAGATAATAATAATAATAATAATAATAATAATAATAATAATAATAATAATAATAATAATAATAGTAGTAGTAGTAGTAGTAGTAGTAGTAGTAGTAGTAGTAGTAGTAGTAGTAATACTAGTGATTTGTGATATGAAATCCAGCATGGTTAGCTCGTTTGCTGTGTACAATGTCATTTTTGTGTATATAATAATAATAATAATAATGATGATGATGATGATATCATTATCATGATAAAGTTATGAAAGCCACTTTCGACCGCAAACCCCTCACTACCTCTGTCACGACTCTGAATCGGAAAGGCCCAACTCCGCATGCGCTAAAAAACGTACAAACCATGCGACGATTTCTTCGGACCCGATTGGCGCCCCGGAGTGAGGATGAAGCGCATGCGCAAACACGCCGGAAGCCGGTAGCCCCTGGATAAGTCTCCGAGAAACCCCGCGTGTGGCCCTTTTCTGCCTGAGCCAGCGAGCGGCGCACGGGGAGGTGAGGGGAGCGTCTCCATGTGAGCTTTTACCTCCGCGAGCGGCGGCGGGATCCTGTTTGGTCCGAGGGTTGGGAGTAAGGAGAGGCTCTGAGGGAAAGGCCTGGGGGTGGTTGGGTGGACAGAATCCGTTGAGAAATGAGGCCGGGGCGCCCTTATCCAGAGCACGTGATCCGGCAAAGCGGAGAAAGACACGGCGGCATTAACATTCAATCCCTGAATAAAATAAAATAAAATATGACACAATAAAGCAACGGCAATTATTCTGAGGCGGGCTTTGTAGGCCGGTCAGCCCTCTATAACCCTGCACCCTTCCAATATGCTGGGACTTCATGGCTCCAACGTGGTCGTGCTGACTGAAATGGGAGTTGTAGTCCTGAGCCAGTAGAGAGTACAGTAGGGAGAGGAAAGGGAAGGTCGGGCTTCACATCTTTATTTGACCAGTGAACTTTTCTTTTTTTTTTTTTTGGAGGGGGGGAGAGGAGAATGTAATTTTTGGCGCCTCCTAATTTCTGAAATGAACTTTCCTGAAGGGAGAAATGATCCATTTTTTTAAAAAGTTACGGTGCTCCAAGTATAGCCGTTTTGAGAGAGAGAAACTTTTGAGAGCGAAGCAGGTTGTACCTCGTGAGGTTTTTCCTCCCACTTATTTCAGCGGCTGTGATGATTCCCCTCATTTTCAGCTTGTGATTCTGCATTGCTCTTCGTTTTAGTTATTTATTTATTATTTATTTATTAAATTTATATACTGACCTATTCCTGAGGGACTCAGGGCGGTGAACAGCGAACGATAAAAATACATGTAATACAAACGTTAATAAAAAAAACCAATTAAAATATACTAAACACTCTGGTCCTAGATAATTCAAGACATCCCAGTTTAAAATAAAATCAAAAGCAATATAAAGGGAAAGTTAGGCCAGGCCGGCCTGCTGAAACAGGAATGTTTTGAGGGCACGGCGGAAAGTGCGCAGATGTTTTACTTACGGGTGTGTTGGTATTTTATGACCCAACCCTCCTGTCCCTTTATACCAGGGGTCTTCAAACTTGGCAGCTTTAAGACTTATGGACTTCAACTCCCAGAATTCTCCAGCCAGCTATGCTGGGAGTTGAAGTCCACAAGTCTTAAAGCTGCCAAGTTTGAAGACCTCTGCTTTATACAGTAGGCCATTTTCCATCCCCCCCCCCAAGCTTTTTCTTCACATTCCTGTTCACTTGTCCCTCCAGCTAATTCTTATAAACAGAGTCAACCACAGCCTCCAAAATTTATAGAATGTATGCTCCTTCTGGTAATAACCCACCACGTTGCTATCAAGATTTAGATCATCCGATAAGCCTGAATTTGGAAAGAGGGAACGTAATAGTAATGTATTTGTAAATATACCTTACAACTACAATTAGCCTTGAAATACGGGTGTAATGGGACTTGTAGTCTGGCACCTAACTCTGTTAAAGAACGAGCATGTACTGCATCACGTTTTTGCAGGTTTGTGGGAATTACAGGCCATTTGGATTCTTTCTGATAGCTTGTCTACAACATTAGTATTGGTTATGAATTAGAGCTGTGTGATTATGTTTCTTCACAACTAAATACTTCCATATTATGAAAAGATAATTGAACTAATTTGCATAGCATGAGTAGAGCTGCCTGACGTTGTCTATCCAGAAAGTCAATATTGGGAGTGAGGAACAAGCTATTGAAGAAGGCCGATTCAGGATTTAATTGCTTTTTATATTTGTATCTAGAATGACTGACTGGGAGACAGCCCCTGCTGTGGCAGAGACCCCTGATATCAAGCTGTTTGGAAAGTGGAGCACAGATGATGTCCAAATCAGCGATATCTCCCTGCAGGTATGAAAAGAGAAGTTACAGATGGAATTTTGAAAGACAAAAACTGTAGAGTGGTTTGTCTTCTGGCTGGAAAAAAAGTTTTATTCTTATATTTATCCTAATGCATGGCTCTTTATTTGTGTTTTTGTAGGATTACATTGCTGTGAAGGAAAAATATGCTAAGTATTTGCCCCACAGTGCTGGGCGCTATGCTGCTAAGCGCTTCCGTAAGGCCCAGTGCCCAATTGTGGAGCGCCTCACCAACTCCATGATGATGCATGGGCGCAACAACGGCAAGAAGCTCATGACTGTGCGCATCATTAAGCATGCTTTTGAGATCATCCATCTGCTCACAGGAGAGGTAAGCATGGGGAGAAAAGACTATGTTGAGGCATGGAGCAGGATAATTGAAATAAATTACTTGAAGTGGGGGGCAAGAGAAGGAGAGATGAAGTCATACTTACTAGAAATAAATAGCTATAGTATGAATGAGGCATAAGCCGTGTAGTTGGAATTACAGGCCTGATAGAGTACATTTGATAGACAGGTATTGTGTTTGGTCATTTTCTTAAGTCTACTTTTGAAGCCCATTACAATTCCCATTAAAGAGTAAAGTTCCACTTGAATAATTTTTAATTTATGGAATAGAGATGCTGCAAACAGTTTATCAATCTTGGATAGCAGAGTGCATCCTGAAGCCCAATTGCTTGCAAATACTCAAAGCCACTCTGAAAGTTGTCACTAAACTAAATGTTTTAATGGAACCAAAGGGGAAAAATACTACTTTTGCTTTGGTCCCTATTTAGCTGTTAAACTGTCTTCTCATTGATGTATTCAAAAGAGGTTTGATCTTCAGCCCAAAATAGATTTAACAACCCTGATCTAAGAGAAGTAAACCATAAAAATCAATATACCCACAGTATTTTCAAGGATTTATTCCTGAGTAATACATAATTTAACATCTATTTGTGCTACATCTTTAAATAGAAATAGATTTGGCCTCAGTAAAAATACATCATCTGAATTTTAAACAAATCCTGCTTTGTTAATAAGCTATTAAACATTGTCTTTCTCACAATATTTAGTGCTCTATTGACATAGCAGGTTTGTTTAAAGTTCAGATGGTGTTTAAAGTTTAAATGTTTGCTCTTAAATCCTATAGAAAATATTCGCTATTAAATGTACATGTTGTTGCTCCTTCCTGCCTGGTGTGAAGAGTAGTTGCCTAGGCTAGAGATCCTTGTATAATGCTAAGAAACTCCATACCTAGAATGTATTGCTGTTGGAAAAGGTATCTAATCTTAATCTTTTTCACCCAAAATTCTAGACAAACGAACATTAACATTATAAGAGGCAGACAAATAAGATGGTGGCTATCTTAATATAATGCAGTCCATTATTGTAAAAAGCAAAGAGGACGGCCATAAGAGAGAGACTGAGGAGAACCAGTCCAAAGAGATGAGAATGAGAAAATAGATTAAGTTTAGGGCATTTGGAAAAAGTATGCAAACATCTGAGACATCCTTAATTCACACAAGTATAAAAAAGAAGGGGAAGCACAATCATACTTGGAAATTACGTTATCAATCTACATGTAGGTGGTCCTTGTTTAGAAACTGCAATGAGGCTGGCAACTGTTGCTAAGCAAAACGGTTGCTAAGTGAAACTCTTGCTTATGATCTTATTTCAGCTTTCCTTTGCTTTACAAACCTGCAAATATTGTCAATGTGTTGGTCCCAAAGTTACTTTTTCATCACTGTCATAACTGCAGCAGGTCACTGTACCAGGCAATCTAAATGAGAACTATCTGTAAAAGTAGTCTTTTGTCTTCTGTGGAGTTTATTCCTGGTCTGGTCTGCCTCATAGGGCTGATAGTTGCTTTGTTGTTATGGCCTGCAAAAAGTTGGTGCTAGGGAACTGCTACATGAAAAATAGAAGAGAGGGTCAAGGCAAGATTTTGCTGGTTGAGCCTCATGAATATTTGGTGGCAAGCAGCCTCAGACTTCTGTTATGCCATAAAGTAAATAAAAGCATTTCTAAAAAGTTAGACACAGATCAGCATCAAATGATGTTACTTGCTTAGTGCTGTTCTGATTTGGTAGCCACTGATTTTATAGAGATAATTGCAGAGTTCCCCCAGTATAATCTGGATTGGGCTAGCAATTAGAAAGGCAATTATGACTAATCAGCTTTTGAACATTTTATTTATTCATCACATTTCAATGCAGCCCATTTTATCTAAGCGACTCAGGGCAGCTTACAGTAAAAACATCACAAAATATAAAAGCATAAGTAAGAAAGTTGAGCCTTGGTAGTACAGTGGTCTAAAGCACCCTGTTATTAAGACCAGCTGCCTGCAATTACTGCAGGTTCGAATCTCGCCAGGCTCAAGGTTGACTCAGCCTTCCATCCTTTCTAAGGTAGGTAAATTGTGGACCCAGTTGTGGGG